TCAAACGCCAATCAGGACATGCACGGTCTCGAAATCGTTAGTCATTGCACACATTGTCTCACACGCAGCTCTTTACTAATGTGGATAGCCCAACGACGCCTTCTGTAGCATCTCTGTCCAAGAACTCGTCACCACGCACAGTTCACCTGCCCCGAGTCCCGTGCACCCGGCCCTCATCCTACAGAAGAGATCTGTACCGCCAGACCTTGTTGCGCCGGTTTTGTACTCTGGCACCAATTCGGCTCCTTGGACCAGAGAACTCCCTCAGCCACCGCCGCCACCGCCACCGAGTGATAATCCCATTCACCTCTCTCTCAGCTTAGGTGCCAAGCTGGGATCTGGGCCATACGGCGTCGTATATGAGGTCACTCCTCTCCAGCGCGACGAAGGGACACACAAAATGCCCAAGCTCGTCGTTAAGATCGCCAGATGGTCCTGCGCGGCATTACTGGCCAGGGAGGCCTGGTTTTATAACGAGTTGCATTCACTCCAGGGGTCCGTCGTACCGAAATGCTACGGTTTATACGACTGCGTGCTGCAACCAGGCTTCGAGGTGTCGGTCTTAGGCGATCGTCAAGATGTTTCGCCTGACTGGTGGCGATACGATATTCACGCGCGGCGCTCGATAGGAGATAGAGTGATGGGAAGCTTGCCCTTGCATGACGAGCTTCGCCGGTTACGAGACTCGACCGACTGCCTCTCCATCTTGTTACTGGAGAGGGTGGGTTGTCCCATCAATATCGGCCTCGACGGTATAACTGCAGAGGCTGTGTGGTATGTCGTTCCTTGTCTCTCGTCCGCACCGTCTGTTCACATCACATTTCCAGTGACGATCTCGCACGTCTCTTCGAAGACGTTACCAATCTGGGAGTCAACTGTGCGGCATTTTCTGTATCTCGTCTCATCCCATTGCTGACATTATACCCTCCCAGTGCTTCCCCTCGAATCTGAGAACATAGCGCACAAGCACGATGACACGCCCGTCCGGATCTCACCTTATCGAGAGCATGAACACCGATTCCGCATATTCGACTTGGGTTGTGCCGTGAAGACCAACATGGCCCAGCGTTGGCTCCACGGTGCCTACCTTTGCAATGTCAGGGCGATCTCCAGGGATCTAAGTTACGGCAACGACGATGAGGAAGACGAAGACTCTAATGAGCTCATAGAGGACGATGGCGCATCTGACTCGGAGTCCCAGCCACCCTGGCAGGCTCGACCTTGTTCCCGGAGAGAGCAGTAGGCCGGAGATCGTTGAATAAATCACATGATGTCATGGCATATCAATCTACAATGCGTTGCACGCGCCTCTTTTGAGTGCTCTTGACCCCAGCGACCATGTATACAACCATGCCAGGCGTACTTCTCCCATTCTCCATAGTTTGAAAGCACTCGGAATTGAATGATTTACATCTTTGTACATATCAAGGGATCTACGATCGCGAGTGGGTATAAAGTGACATTGTATGTTTGGTAGATGACGTTCCCGAGATACAATATGAGCTGAGCACAAGAGCGCGGCAAACCAGACTAGCAAAAAACGGTACGGTACAGGATGAGCATCATACACTTCAGCCTTCGTGCGTGCTCAAGCATCGGATGCGAAGGAAGTAGTAGCTTGGCGGAGACTCGGGAAGATAAAGGAACGAAGCGAGGGCGCAGCCATCGTCATGAGGCGAGTTCTTCCACGCCAGGTTCCCCATACTATCGTTGAACGCAACGGTCATGGGCATCACGAAGGAGTTCTTGAAAACCTCGTTATATGTCTTGACCGTGCCCTTGACGCTGGTCTTCGACGTCCCAACCAAAGCCAGTTTCGCCTTGAGATCTCCCAATGTCATTCGTCCGTTGATCTCTGCTTGAAAGGCTTCTTCCCAGCTACCGGGAGATCCGGGAAGGTATCCGAAGACGACAATGTTGACTGTGACGTCGTGGTTCGAAGGCAGAGTCCTCGGCCGGATGGAGGGGTCGAATCGTTTGTCGCTCTGAGCATGGACCGGGCTGTTACCCACGCGGACGGCGCCGGCGTGGATTGCTACCATCTTGTCGAAAGGAAGCATCGCGGATCCCGTAGATGGACGCAGTACTGGTGACCTGGCATCTGAGAGAGAATGAGCTTGGATCATTGTAACATGGCAAAACCGTACTCTTCGTTGTGATATGGACTTGACTGTCACCCACGTTGTCGACGGAAGCGGCGTTAGTCGCCATGTTCTTGTCGACAGGAGGCGTCGCGGGTCCCGTAGATGGATACACTGGCGAATTGGCATATATGAGAAGTGAGCTTAAATTGGTGACAGAGAAATGGCGTACGATGTGCAGCGTTGCGTGTAGGCAGTGGGGCTTGCGGCCGAGAACCAGACGGTTTAGGAGGTGTGGCGTGGCTGGTGCCAGCGGCGCCAGACTGCTCGACACGGCCGAAGGTAACTGTGATGGGCTGTCAGTTGTGACTCAACACAAGAAGATTATTAACGCACACGCAGTATCGCCTGTATTGCCTACGACCTCGAATGACCTGAGACGCGGGATCAACTCCGCCCAAACTTCCTCGCTGATCTCAACCTTCTCTCCTTCAAGACCAGGGACTGACGCCGACTTGCATACGAGACCATCTATGTTGCTGTTCCTAATAGCCGGTATCTTCCTTTTCGCCAGAGCAAGCATCGCCTGATGAGTGGCGCGTCAGTCTGCGTCAGTGAGTGGCTTGAGTGGCGTGCAAAGAGACCCACATTGTAATCGGCTAGGCGCGGCACGACAATCTTGCGCTCGCCGCTGACAAGGAGCAATGGCGCGTGTGGGTATGGTGCGGGTGAAGTACGTTCAGAGCTTCCGTCTGCTTTGGGCATCGTGGAGGGCGGTGGTGAGTGGCTTAGAACGCGTCCCGTCGCGTGCGCCGCGACAGGGCGCGACGCGGCCATGAGGGCTTTGTCACGGCGTGATGTCACGCGATACCACAAAGCACCCATCAACTCTCAACCGTGCACCAGCAGAAAGCGAGTAGCAAAGTGCGCGTGAGGTGTATACAAGGTCCATCGGAGGTACTCAAGCGCACTGAACGGATAGAGTGGCGGCTTGCCTGTCGCTCGCGACCACACCCGGTCAAGACTCGTCGCTCTCTAAAAGAGCTCACAGGACGACAGTCGCGGCAGATACATGCCTGGGCGCTCGCGGGGCGAGTGTCGAAGGTGCTCGCTTGCTTACTCGCGTGCGGTTCTGAGGTAGTGTCAGACAAGAGCGATGTTGGAGGAGGGACAGCAGCGCACTTCTTCCGGGAGACGGTATACTGCTATGGCCTTCTGTGTTTGAAACTCGAGAGGGAGTCGTTAAGTCAGATAGTATCGTTGAGGGAGTCTGAGCATATTTTCGAAGAGTATTCTGGGCCTAGACAAGGTCAGTTCGCTTGACTAACAGCATTTAAGAAAGAACGCCACGAACCAAGACCGGGACGCTCCGAGTCGCTCTTAAGCCCGCGCGCTTGATGGACCAACGAGTGACTGGAGATATACGAGTAGACAGCAGGTTAGAGACAGAGAGCGTGTCAAATGAAGGAGCAAGTGTCGTCAATACGGGAGCATCCCCTCTGTCAACGTTCTCCGGCTAGAGGGGTCATGGAAGCTGCAGGAGCTCTGTACATGGGGCACAACCATTTTGCAGCCCGTACGGGGCATGTGAAGCAAAAGCAGCAGTCTCAAGGACGACGCTAGAAAGTCTTGTGTAGCGAGATGGTCGTTGAATTTAGATATAGGTGGTGGTGGTATGCGAGCAACCATCTTCAACTTCGTCTGCTGTAATGACGTAACGCGCCTTCGGGCCGAACGCCGAGCGCCGAACGGCGCAAGCGCCCACCAGCCGCTGCGGGTCTCTTCCTGCCTTCACACCACGACCAAGGTCGGAGTAGCACATAGTGAACCCGCTGATATGTATACATCCTTTGCTGTCCGAACACCTCTCTGTGCGAGTTTTGAAGCATGTTATCCCTAATCGGAGCCATACACCGAATCCGAGCCCGCATATCATTGTCAGCCCGCCTCCTCAATGAACCGACCACGCCAGCCTCAGTGTTCTCTCCTGCACATCAAAGCTTTGCCTTCGCCCTCCCAAGAATATCCCGAACCCGCATAACCTTATGCTCGTTCTCGCCCCTCGCACCGTCCATCAACTTGCGCTTCGAACCGGGCGCGCTGGTGCCGATGCGGATGTCCGTCGCGATGCGCGGCGCGCCTTTGGCGTGCACGGCGGCGTGGCAGGCGCGGATGGCGGAGGAGACTGCTGTCCAGGGGCCTTCTATGGAGATAAGGGGAAGGGGGAAGGTGTGGGTATAATTGGGAGCGGGAGAAGAGGGGGGATGTACCGAGGTTTGTGCCGTAGCCGCTTGATGCGGGGATGAGGTCAGTGCGCGCAGATCATGCATCGATAACAAGTTATACTGACTGCATCTACAGGGTTCGCATATTTCAGTCATTGCCTGACGGTGTAAGGAACTCAGACGGCCGAACGTACCTCATACTTGAGCCCCGTCTTTTCTAGAACGCGGGCGCATTCCGCTACGTGCTCTGCAACCTGCACGCTATGTCAGGATACGTGTCTTTGCGCTCTGAGCGACAGATGGCTCACCGAGGGGCCGTTTCCCGTGCCGATGGGGATGAGACAGAAGTCTGCTCATTGCTTGAGGCGCTGCTCATTGTATGCTCGACGTCCTTCGCACCTGCAGTTGCAAAGAGCTCGTCGGACGACATGGTGTGGCGGTGGGTATGAGTACCCCACTTCTCACTCGACGAAGACAGGTATAAGTAAGATGACCCTCGCCGCACCTCGGCGTAACCCACCTCCTCCATACGTCCACCGCACCTTCTATCTACACTTCCAACAGAGCCCCAGTACCCTCTTGAAGACGCTCTTCCCTCCATATGACCTCAAAGCGCACATATATGTACATTGCCTCTCAGGCTTGATCTATCAATACCACTACAACACGTTTACGTTTACGTCTACTCTAAAGCTACAGACTACAGTACCGGGTCAACCTTATACATCTTGCTCGCGTTGTCCGCCGCGCTCTGCACGTCCATCCCAGCATACACAGGCTCGACCTTGTACATCTTGCTCGCCCCCTCGAACTCGTCCCCTCCCGCCTTCCCACCCGCCTTCCCATCCTTAGCATCCTTCGTCGGCACGACAGCCGTCTTGCTCGCGATACTCGCAGCCTTCCCGTCCGGAATCCTGATAAACTCAAACTTGCCATCCTCGCCCTGCCCATCGAAGATGTAGTACCCCTTCCGCTCGAACTGGATCGTATCTCCTTTGGCCAAGCTCTTGACGTTCGCGTCCGCCCACGCCTCCTCGCGGAACTCCGACACGGGCGTCACAAAGTCCTTCACGTCGTCGTCCTCCTCCAGCTTCTTCTTCGTGATAAGATAATCGTAGTCGACCAGCGTCGCGGGCGTCAAGTCGTAGCTTTGTTCTGGCACGGGCTGCGCGAGCCACGTCACTTTCTTCTTGGTTTTCTTCACGTCGCCGGCGAGGTTCAAATCCATAGTGAGCGCGGTAACGGCGCCGGAGGGAGAGAGGGTGCGCGAGGTGACGAGGGCGTTGCCCCAGTCCATGAGCGTGATCTCCTCGTTGTGCTCGAACGAGAGCGCGTCGTCTTGTTCGATGTAGATTGAGGAGCTGTAGGTTGTCGTCTTGGAGCCGACGTCCGGGTTCTTTTTGTGCTTGGGGAGGGTCTTGGATTCGAGGGATGTGGGGGCGCCTGTGATCGTCACTGGTACACTGAACAATCCATTCATCAGCACGAGTGTATGGGAGATGAGAGGGAGGAGATGGAGGAGACGCACATCTTCTCCTTCAGCAACGCCCAAAACCTCGGCGCGACCGGATCAATGACCTTCTTATTCAACGCCCAAATCGAATCCCACTCGAGCGACACAATAGCCTGGCTCGGGCCCTGGCTCAGCATAAACTGCCTTAGCGCCTCGACCGTCATGCCCCTCCTCCTAATACCCCTCACAGTCGGAAACCGCGGGTCGTCCCAGCCCCTTACGATCCCGTGGTCGACGAACCAGTGCAGCTTGCGCTTCGAGAGCAGCGTGTAGATGAAGTTCAGACGGCTGAAATCCCAGATGCGCACGGGGCGGATGCCCAGGGCCGCGATCATCCAGTGGTACTGCGCGTTGCGGTCGCGGTACTCGTTCGTCCGGAGCGCGTGCGTGACGCCCTCGAGCGAGTCCACGGCCGGGCACGCAAAGTCGTACGTCGGGTAGATCTTCCACTTCGCGCCCGTGCGGTGGTGCGGGAGTAAGTTGGTGCGGTATATGACCGGGTCGCGCATCGCCTTGTTCGGGGCGTCGACGCTGATCTTCGCGCGGATGCACCACCTTGACCCTTCGGGCGAGCCGCTCTTCATCTCTTCGAAGCGCGCGAGGTTTGAGGCGGGGGAGGCGCCGCGGCGGGCGGAGGGGAGCCCGTCCATGCGCTGGCGGCGCATCTCCATTTGCTCGGTGTCGTCGGCGTAGGCGTGCCCGGAGGAGATCATTTGGACGCAGAGGGTGTAGAGGTGGTCGAAGTAGTCGGAGGTGTGGGTTACGGTTTCGGATGTTATGCCCATGAGCGCGAGGTCTTCGAGGATGGTCTCTTCGAACTCAGTCTAAGATCAATCCGCGAGCTGTCAGTTAAGATAGGCAGGGGTGAAAGTGAAGCACGCACGCGCTCCTTGGACGGGTTGGTGTCGTCAAAACGGATGAGCATCTTCCCCTTGTACATCTGCGCAAAGTACTGGTTCAAGATCGCAGCCTTCGCATGTCCGATATGCAAATACCCCGACGGCTCGGGCGGGAACCGCGTGACGACCTCGCCCTCCTTCGCGCCCTCCAGCCCGAGCGAAAATCCCGCAGCCGTCTTCTGATTGCTCCGCGCCTTGTTCGCCTTCGCCTCAACCAAGCCAGCAAGAGCAGCCTGGGTGGACTCGAGCGACTCGATGTGGGCGGACCAGCGCGCGAGGTGGGTGTGCGCGCCGTTGCGGAGGAGGCCGACGATCTTGAGGCTGCCTTTGATCGCGCCCCAGATGAGAAAGTCGGATGCGGTGAGGGTGTGGCCGAGGAGGAAGGTGCGGTAGGCGAGATGGTCGTCGAGAGAGTCGAGCGAGGCGATGATCTCGGGGACGACGCTCGCTTTGGCAAGCGCGGCGGCGAGGATGTAGTACGACGCGGACTGAATAATACGATCAGCAAGACCAGTACATTATAGATAATGTCACGCACGCGAGAGCTGTCGTCGGCCAGTCCAGCAGCCTTAGCAAGCGCCTTGACGGCCTCCTCCTCAGACGTGATCTTCGATCCATCAATCTCCAGCTCGATCCCTTTGACAGCCTCGTCGTAGACAATCTCGGCCTTTTGAGTGTAGGCGGCCGTAATGACCGCCGCGTAGGGGAACGGAGAGGCCTTGGCCGATAGAGTCAGTGTGCCCGCCATGGTGGTGGTGGTCAGAGGCAAAGGCAGAGGAAGAGGCAGAGGGTTTGCCGTTTGACTCGCGATTAGATCTGGATTCGGCGAGGTTTGCCGAGGCGCTAACCTTAACCCTAAACCGGTCTGTCTAGAACTTCTCTGCGCGACTCATGCTCTTGATCCTGAGCGGGCGTTCGCGGTATTTACTGTATGCGAGGATTTGCGATCGAAGCAATGATAGTATATATAGTATGTGTATGCGAATACTCCCGGGTTCTCCGGAACTATGAACAGTTTAGTGTCACGCCTCACGCGGGCTCTTGAACAGGCTTCCGGATGAACAGTTGGATCTGTCACGCGCCACGCACGGAGGACCTGAGCACTGTGTCAAGTTAAGCATATTCTTCTCTGGTCACGACTATGATCGGTATGTTGGATGCTCCCATCTCGAAATTGCCTAGGGTATTCATAGCTGCAAGGACCCGTGTGTACCGGACAAGCACACGCTTGAATAGTTTCATAGGGTCGCTATTGGAAATCAGCAGACTGTGAGGCTCAAGATCTGCCGCCGGTACGAACCTTGGATTTGGCAGTGTCTGGTTGGTATCTTCTGATGACTCAATTTCTTCAGGAACTGAGCCGTCGGATAGTGACTCGACTATATCCATTTTCCTGCGTAAATACATGAGTAATGCAGGATCCCTACACTGCTTCAATAGAGAGTACCTTGACAGTGCTGGCTTGTATACACCCATCTCGAGTGCAGCATACTCGCGCCCGCAAATTGTGTTCGAGCTGTGTCAAAAAATATTACGACACGTCAGAGAGTAGGGGTTGATGACTCAGACCATACCATATGATACGGTGTCCGTCGTAGTAGAGCCTTTCGCTCCCGGTTATTGGAGTCTGGCAATACGGACACATGGAAGGGTTTTCGCGGCTAATAGCACTCATAGTGATGTGCATATCTGGCTGCACGACATTCGACCATTCCTCTGGAGCAATGAGGAGACGCTCTGAGTTACCCAGAGCATAATGCCCATTCTTCACGTGCGACAAGCCGGGACGACCTCGGAAAGCGCGCGTCAAGAATCTGTGCGTGTTCTATCGTGCCCTTTGAGTTATGCTATGCAGGCTCTCGAATGCTTCCACTCACCTCCCACGTCGCAAACGTTTCTTGCTCCAAAACGTACGAATTCCCGAGGAAGTCGACAAGGACGATCTGTCCTGTAGATAGAGGACGCGAGAGACAGTGAAGCTTCCACGACATGAAAAGGATGAGGAAGGTGACCGTCACGGAAATCGTCTGCTGGATAATCTGGTGTTCGGCTCGTGTTACAACCTCAGAACCGCGTATAGGGTCTGTAAGCCCGAGAAGAAGCATTGCAAGAGCACGCCAGACAATGGCTTGATCCTCGACGCCAAATCTCGATATTACGGTGTGAACCTGGTTACCAAGAGCATGCCAGTTTATGATTTGCACCACTTGCTCTTCTCGGATCTGCACCGTGCGTGTAGACGAATGATGCGACTCTAAACCAACGAGTCTCAGTGATTCTGACACCCGACACACATGGAGTTGTATACTCACGCGGAGAGTACCGGATTATTTGACTACTTTCTGGACTTGGAGAGCCTCTGGCTGGGGCATCTTCAATTGTTCTGCCGGTAGTGTTATCATTGATCACAGGAAATACCATACTCGAACATACAGATCAATGGTCACGGTCTCTTCCCCGTTCGAAGTACGCTCGGGAGGTGACCTTCCTGTCTTGAGTAGAAGCGCGTCAAGCTTCCGTTCATGACGTTCAAGAGCGAGCGTGTGGCTAAAGTTTAGGCTGGTCTAAATCACAGTCAGCCGCGGATACAGACCGTATCGTCATGAGGAAGTTCGCAAACGTTAGCAAATTTTAGTGTGTCGTCCATTTCTATTCGGCAACGCTGTACGGATGAGAGTATGTGTTTCCGCTTGAGAGTATTCCTCAACGTCGATAAGGTGACTCCGAAGCCTTTGCGCCTCTCTCCGCTGTCCGTGTACGCGGGCCGACACGCATCGAGTGCTTTGCGGGTTTGCTTGATGCAGCTTCACAAAAGGCGTTATTGGTGTTTTCAGTTGAGAGTCCTTAGACGCACCTTTCTAGCTGTCTTAAAGGTTCAACGAGCGCCCTGGGGACCGTTTGCGCCTCGGGTTGGAGGGTTTCGCATTGTTCGCGAGAGGCTTCGACGATGAGCTGCAGCTGGCCCACGACGGCCGCAACCGATTTCCATTCATCCTTGCATTGATTGACTTCCTGAGTGCTCTCAATCAGTCAAAGGTGGCGATGACGACAATGTACCCACTCACATCGCATATTTTGATGATTTCAGTCAGGCTACCCGAGATGATACTGAGGTAGGGCACGTTCTGCGTCGCAGCCGCTACGACACCAAGGACCTCGACGCCAGTCTTGACAACCCCTTGAATGTCCTGTATGCGCTCCTCTCCGATCCCTACGACCGCCAAACGCCACATGGGTACGTCGCCTACTTACCAACCAAGGCGGAAGATGCACTCACATTTTCGAGTCAGTCGCGAACTTGATCCAGTAGCAGATGCTCCAGCTACAGGCATTGCGGAGGAGCCAGCGAAGGTGAACAGCGAGATGGGCGTAAGTACAAAACAACGAACCCAAGGACCCTCGGAAATACCTGCACGCAGCCACGTGTACTTCCATAAGCGCCAGGTTCGCCCTCACAACCACATGCTCGAGATGAAGCGCTCGCGAGAATCAAGCGCCCAAACCTGTCCAGACTCACAGGCGGGCACTGATGTCTGTCATATCAAGGATCAGAAGGGAAGATGATCAGAAGGCTGAAGAACGCGCTCACGGTGAAAGACCGAGGTTCGCTCTCTAACCTTAACCTAAGGGCGCCTGCATCGAACTTCTCTGCGCGGTTCAAGCGCTGGACTCATGCAAGTAGATGCAATTAGAGCAAGTATAATATGTAGTATGTGTACGGATCGATCTAGAAGTCTGAGAGCATATCCTTCACGCTGTCCCAATATGCCGCATCCTCTTTCAGACGCGCCTCGATCTCCTGTTTCGTGAGCCATGCGAAGTCGGAGGCGTCTGAGGGTCGCGCTTGGCCTGCCATGATGTGTGCCTTGTAGAAAAACAAGTTGGTCTGAGCATGAGGTCAGCTTATGTAGAGTGTGAACAGGATATACGGGCTTACTTTGGGTGCTGAGGGAGCGTCTGCTGGTGGCGCGACGAGACCTATGGGGTTCAGACTGACGACCCAAGTGTCCATGTTCTCGCCACACTCTTCTCGGAGGTTGCGTTCGGCACTCTATAACATATATCAACATCAAACGTGAACAACACATGCAACATCACAGAACATACCTCGTGCAAGAACTCCTCGCCCTCAACCGCGCCCTCCGGGAACCTCCACGCCTCCTTCCCCCCAACGCTCTTCCTCAACACCAGATACAAATTCCTCTCCCCAGCCCTATCCAAGCTCCTCACATCGCCCTTCTCATCGCTCTCACCTCTCCGCCCCTTCATAGCCTTGTCCTCCTCGCTCCCAAACTTCTTCAAGTCCTCCTCGCTGACCTTGGGCGTGGGCGCCCACTTGGAGTCCGCGCCGAAGCCGGGGAAGAATGCCTCGCGCTCGCGCTCGCGCTCCTCGAGGATGAAGCGGGACTCGAGGATGGAGCCGGGCTTGAAGTAGAAGTCGTAGGGGAAGGGGTTGTGGAACGTGCGTTGGATCCGCTGTTGGTATTTGTAGAACGCGTTTTCGAACGGCGTTGGGGTGCGCGTTAGAATAGGCGTTCTATTCAATATTACGGCGGTGCGCAGTTGGGGCTTGCCCTCTGACGCGCCGGCTTTTCGTCGACGCGCTGGTGCAGAAGCTGGTGACGAGGAGGACTCGGCGGATGCCGTGGAGGCTTCTGTGGCGAGGTGACGCGCTAGACGTGGCGGCGCGCGGCGCAGGGATGTTGCCAGAGTTGCCATGGTCGTTGGGAGGAAAGTGTGGGCTGGCCTGGTCGACGTCCGAGACGCGCTTCGCTGTCGCGCCCGCGTCGCGAATTCGCGCGTCGGCCGGCGTTTGCCGGGCCGAATGTCGCGTTGTCGAGTCGTTTGAGAACGTACCCTCGTACAGTGAGCTACGGTCCCGATGGATGTCTACGATCCCACCTAAAGACACTGTGCGATACGCATACGTCTCACGAGAGCCATGAACAGTGAAATGTGCGGTTTGGGTACGTGCTAGCACCCGATCCTGAGCGCCGGACGCGCGTCGTCCACCGTCCACACGCACTCGACATCCTACCACCATGACCGCGTCATTGTGTCTTCGCACTATAGCAATCGCACAGAGCTCCAACATTTGGGAATCGCTGTACTATACTATGCGCGCGTGCCGATGTCGTCGGTAGAAGCCGAAGGAGGCTCGATCCTGAGTCGGCGTCACCGCACTCTCCACTCGCCGTGTATGGCTCGGTTTGGACCTTGTCATACTACCTGACTCAAACCCGAGTTTAATTCCTCTACTTCTATATCTTATACTTACCCGTGGCCTCTGTATAAGTCGTGACATTTGATCCTGTCGTTTTCCGACAACGTTAACGCGGAACGCGCGCTTATCGACCGCTCATCGACCATTCACTCGGCTTGTGCCCAAGGTCGGTGGTCAGATCTCCTTATACGTGCTTTGGACCGAAATCGCGTTTACTCGGAAGTGCCAAAACGGTAGTTTGGGGATGGAGCCTGCGCTTGTGCCGACCCTAGGCAGCCCTTTGACGCCGCCACGCCCTTTGACGTCGCGATGCCCTTTAATGCCGCGACGCGAAGTGTCTGCTCAACAACTTCGCTCCTGCCCCCATGAACCCTATGCCGTCGGTCACAGAGACCTTATCGATGGATGCAGAGTTAGTCCCTCTTTGATGCAATACGATCGCGTCTGATGTCGTCCACCCCTTTGAAGTGCATTTTGGACCTCCATGGTCCGCTCACGTTGGGAACACTTGAATAGATCACTACGCTGTGACGATCGTCAGAGCCGCAGAGAGGCCCTTCGGTCTGAAGCACAGGCCATGCGATCTGCGCTTGAGGTCTTGAACAAGATGTATAATGCGCAGACAGACACCTGTGCTCTTCCGACGGAGACATTGACTCACATCCTTTCTCTGGTGAAGGAAGATTGGCAACCGGCTTCCGTCAGCCTCAGGGCCATACACCAAGTTAAATTTCGAACGCACTATACCTCAGGATGGATGGCCATCACACATGTCTGTTCGCACTGGCGCGAGGTGCGTATGTCGATCTAACAGTGCCTACGAGTCGCTCACACTCGACGAACAGGTCGCGCTGAATACTCCTACACTGTGGTCTTCATTCCCCGATTGCCTTCAACTCTCACCGGCCTACATCCCCTGTATGCTGTCTCGCTCTCGTGACGCTCCGCTCGACCTGTCGTTCAAGTACGACCAATTCGATCACGTAGAACTCGTGCGCATGTTCTCGTTATTCTCCGCGCCCTCTACTCTCGAGCGCACGCGGCGGTTCTCCGTGAGCAATCTCCCCGCGCAGATGTTTCGGTACCAAGTCCTTGACGGTCTGCCTGAAAGCTTGGAAGAGCTTCAGATAATCCTTGCCGGTGACAGTTCCGGTCCCGGGGAGAAATTCTCGAGCGCGTTGAGAAATTGGGATAAACACAGTGCGCCCCATCTGCGCAAACTCGTGCTTTGCTGCTCTTCCATACCGTGGATGTCCGCACTATACTCCGCGAGCCTGACGCACCTCGACATCTTCCTTGTACTAGTCGAAGGGGAACCGGTGCCAGCTCCCACGCTAATGGAAATGGCGAAACTTCTCGGCGGTCTACAATCCCTGAGGTTCCTTTCGCTATCGAATGTTTGTCCGTGCGAAGCCTGGACTTACCGGGGCGTTATTAATCTGAGCCCCTGGTTGTCCAGCATGAAACTGATGACGGCGGGAAATGCCAGTCAGTTCTGTGATCTCATCCAGCACTTAGACATCCCTGAGGGGTGTGCCGTTTCCGTCTCGTTCGGTCCATGGTGGGCTGCACCCCGAGAGGTCCACCCAGAGAACGCCGAAACGCGTAGAGACCGGTTTCCCGTGCCTCGCGCAGTGCAAGGAGTCCTGCAGACCCTCTATGGAATTAAAGAGCCGCGTGAGCTCATGATCGGGTACTCCTAGCTCGTCGTCTTTCGCCGTCTGCGGCCGCGGGAGGCATGGGGCGATCTGACGATCCAACATGGGACGCCTGGCTCTGGCACGGCGTTCTTACAGGCGACGACTGCTGCTTCCAAAAGCTGTCTTCTCGACGAAGATCATCTGCCGGATCTCACCTCCATTCGCGCAGTCTCCTTCACCGAGCGTGGGTTAGCGGCGATGCGGAGCGGTGGGTTTAAGACCGATCCGGGAGCCAAATGGCCGCTTCTCGTATCTGCGACCAACGTCGAGCGTGTCTGCATCCCGATCGAACTCTGCGATGTGGGGCTGAAAGCTCTATCTGAGCTTGATTTGGCTCCATCGTTGTCCGGACCTTCGAGCGCAAGCCCGACGGTCAAGCTATTTCCTAAATTGCGCACACTCGTCTTCGCCTTCAGTAACAACATCAAGGGTGGTCGGATGGTCAGCTTCGACGAGCGCTTGAGACGGCTCACAAGGAGTACTTGGCAGGGGCGCTGGCGGGTTTCGTTCAGGCAAGGCGACGGCACGGGAGGCCGGTTGTCGAGTATGTCTTTGACGAGCGGATGCGGAGTTGGCCTCTTTACCAGGAGGGACTGTTGGAGGACGCGACTGTGACGTTCTTCTAAACTGATCGTGTGTACTGTAGGATTGATAGGTTAGCATGCGGGTCGATTGTGATTCGAGTTTTTTGTACTCTTCTTTGTACGAAAGCGTACGCGACGAACGAGCGTGAGCTTTTGGGAGGCCAAGGGAAAACGAAAGAGGATCAGAAGTCGCCGAGAGAGAAGCCGCGTGAGAGCGAAGCTGTCCAAATCTAGGTAAGGTTAGGGTTGATAGCACGAGGCCAGCAAACGAGAAAGAAAAAGATCGACGCGGCTTTGGGGAAAGCCGAGCCTCTTTCTGTTTTCCCGCCGACGAGCCTGCAGGCATCGTCGCGCTAGTTTTTCGACCCACCCACCTCCCCCTTCTGTTTGGAAAAGTTACCAACTGGACGCTAAGCGTGGTGGCTGTCGAGTAGCCAACCCGGAAAGGTTTTGGCTGCTTGGCTTTGCCTTGCGATAGCTGTCCGAGTCCGCGGAGCAAATGCGCGCGCACAGCGTCCCAGGAAGGGGAACGCGTGTCGTGCGGCGCGCGAAGAGGGCCAGGTCAGCTGACCGCGTTTCGGCCCCGAAGTTCGGCCCCGACGCGTTGACGAATGGACGCCCGTCGCCTCCTCCTTCTGACCGCCATGACAGGCCATGACATATGAACTTTTTCCTACGGCATATCCTTGGAATATGCGATATCGTCGAAGTTCATGCCCAGAATGGAGTTATCCGGGGTTCACGCACCCGGAGATCTCGGACCGATGGGATTGCTATTGTTCTAGTTTGAGCAACGCCCATAGCATTGAGCGCGCCACCTTGTTCCGCCGCTGCCCTCTTACCATGACCGTCATGTCTTCGTCAACTTCCTTCGAGGATGCCACGACGAATGCTCAGTGCGTTGGTATCCTGTTGCGTGTCGCGCAGAAACTGATCGTTCGCCATGAAGATCCTACTGGGCAACCACCACTCGCTTGCGCCTAGACGCCATCCAAAACTCCGTACAAGACCGCAGGCGTCGCCAGCAGATGCTCAAGCTTGAGTTACAAGCTCTACAAGACGTTCTTTCGTCCGCCAACAAGCTCTACAACACACAAGCTAGTATATGCTCTTTGCCGCCAGAGACGCTATGCCAGATCTTTGCGTACCTGAAGGTTATAAGGAAGCCGATACGCACCATGTATTATCAGGAACGAAAAGAACCTAGTTCGATTGCTCCCGGTCCTGTACAGATCTTCAATGTAAATGATCCGCCATCTCAGATGGAGATATGCCGGGCTGGTTGGATGTCCCTTACTCACGTGTGTTCTTACTGGCGCGAGGTATGCCAACAAAGAAAGCTGGGTTGTTTCCCGTACTTATGATTACTTGCAGATCATCATCGGTAACCCAAGCCTCTGGGCGACGCATGCGAATTGCCTCGAGATCAGCCCTTTGTGGCTCCCCAATATCATGTTTCGCTCGCAGACGCTGCCGCTGGACCTCACCTTCGACTCGCGAAGCAAGAAGAGCAAAGATCGCTTCCAGTACGCAGATAGACCCATGCTTGGGTGGCTCACACGCTCTATGGGACCCAGAATCAAGCGGCTCGCGTTCGTCGACTGTCTTTCGGACTTCGTGACGGGCGCCTACTACGAGAAAAGCGATCTGCCGCTGGACCGACTTGAGGACCTCCACATCGATGTCTCTGGTGTTTCAACCGATGATCGTGAATACGCCAACGATCGTCTCACTCAGGTCCTGCGAGATTGGAAAGGCGCTCTGGCCCCCCGCTTGCGAAATTTGACCTTACTCTGCAACTCTGTACTTTGGGATTCTCCAATGTTCTCAGCGGAACTGACAAGTCTTCGTATCGAACTCCCGGCCAATACCCCTGCCGAGAACATACCCAAGTATCGAGAGATCGCCAAACTGCTGCGATCGTTCACCTCCCTCGAACGTCTCACGCTCGTGACGGCCATCCCGCTCTCCGTCCCGAACCCACCCCGCATCACTCTAGCGCCAACCCTCCGCAACATCAAACTTGGAGCTGACGGTCGTAATAAGGACTGCCTCAAGTTCTTGCAACAACTTGTTATCCCTGAAGGTTGCTGTATCTCGATCAAGGCCGATAAAGGACGCGAAGACAACGGCCCTGTTCGTCGTATATTCTCTCATTTGTGGAACCTTTCTCTCCCGCGCGAGCTCGTCATCGATGAATCTGGATACGCCATGCACCGGGCTCCGCAGGCCCGAGAGTTCTGGGTACCCCAGCGCAATTCGAAGGGGCAAGCCGATGCGACCGCCATACTTGATGTCGGCTCTATGTGGTACGGCACCTGGCACGCAACGGACAGTATCGAGGCGCCGGACCTGAGCCCGTTACAAGCTCTGTCGTTTCACTACATGGGGTATGAAGGCACGGCATGGCCAGCGCATTATGCCTCAGCCGTGAATGTCAAGCGGCTTGGCATACGCTTCGATCAAGGTGACTTGGGCGACACCATGCTTAACGCCTTGACGGAGCTCTCGCCCGTCGACAACTCCACGTTCAAGTTATGTCCGGCGCTCGATACGTTGGTGCTCATAGTAAGCGCCGGGTATTTCTCGCGAGCGCTTTCGATGCACGGTTTCACTACGAACACGGTGGCGCTTGTGAACCTTGTGTTGAGGAGGAAGGAAGGCGGAGCGCCGATCAAGGAGCTCGTGGTGCATGCGTCGATGAGGAACTGGACGGTTTGGGAGTCGTTGAGGGAGGATGTTGTTGTTACATTCGCATCGTGAAGTGGGATCCTGCTGCAGGTGGAGACTACGACGGTCTTTGGGCGAGGCCAGGGTGCATTGTTGTTGTCGCAGTCGTCATGTACCAGAAGCATTGTCGTTTCGCCCACGCCTAAGTACTTCTCGTCTTTACAAGTAGTCTACCGCGCACTTTACATGTCATACCATTACCTTGTTTCACTTAGCATATAATCAGCCCAAATTGTTGAAAGATTGATACCTGTTGGACATATCAGCGCCCAATCGCGCGGCAGATGCAGTCGCGTGACGGAGTGTTGTCGCAGTGATGTGCGCGCAACGGGACTCAGCTTCGCACCACCACGACAACCGCCGCGTCGTAATGCTTCCACTTTCGCGACATGTACAGACAGGAACTAGCAGTGATGCACAGTGCGCACTATCATTTAATTGCTACTGTGAATCGAGCGGTACTAACTTGATATGGTAGATCGTTCTGGGATACGACAGTCAGGTCGCGACTTGGCGGACCGGCTTCGGCCGGCCCCCACAATCGTGAAGCCCGAAGACTACGGCTGGAGCAAGAGCTACTTGCCTTACGACGGGCAGAGCACTATGTCATGAGGCTGCGCAACATGCAAACGGGGACTTGCTCTCTACCGGCGGAAGTGTTGACTGCTATATTCGCATGGGTTCAGGGCATCTGGCCCCCGTCTCGAAGGGAGCCTACATCCAAGACCAAAGCGCCCAACCGTTGCTATGGTTGGGGTTGGATCACTGTGACTCACGTAAGCTCCTATTGGCGCGAGGTGAGTGATTTACCGGCATCGCAAGCTTATTTTGACGTCCTTATCACAGGTTGCCCTCAACGCACCCTCTCTCTGGACGACCCAAACATACTGCGCGGACATAAACCACAATTTTATCCCTGATATTATACTTCGATCGCGGGGTTCTCCTCTTGACTTATCTTTCAATATAATCTCGGACGTTCACAAGGACTTCTACGGCGCGGGTGTTCAGTACTGGCTGCTGCCGGCGATAAGCAGGCGCATCCGAAAACTATCGCTGAAAGGACTGCCTGCTAAAGAAACGTCGAGCCTGTCTGTGTACCTGTCGTCAAAAGATCTCTGGACAATCGAACATCTTGAGATCCATGTCAGACGGTCCAGCGACGGTCTCAGCGACGAATTGGAGGAGATGTTTAGGGAATGGAAGGCTGGTGATGCACCCCGACTGAGATCTCTCTCTCTGAGCGGTGTCAAGGTTCACTGGGGGTCCGCTATCTTCTCCAGCTCTTTAACCCATCTCAACATCGATATAGCGAGTTCTACGACGAATGTTGCTAGCGACTTCCCCTCATATATGGAACTCTTCAGCGCCCTCTCCCACCTTGACAAACTCGAAACATTACACCTGTGTCAGGTCTTCCCTCGACGGGACCCGGATACTACTCCGCCACTACTGTATCTCCCACAGTCGCTCCGACACCTTCATCTGGAGGCGGATGAACCGTACGCTCGCCGCGTCTTCTTGTGTATCCCCAACCTCGTCATTCCCATGCACACCTCCGTGTGCCTCATAGCCCGCGCAGAATACTACTCGTTCAAGCAGGCCGTGGATCTGGCACTTCCGCGTCTCTGGGCACGGATACCTGTCAAGGAACTCGTACTGGATAATATGAGTGTGCACTCTTATGCCATCGAACGGACACAGCGCGAGCAGTGGACAATACCTTGGAGCTTCTGCAAGGGGTCGGAACCGGATGGCGGCTTCTATGTCATGATCATGGACGAGGCCGGGGAGAATCCACTTCCACATCAAGTCCTGGACCAGCCTCTCGATGCGCTGACCGCTTTCACGCTCACTACGGAAGCCATGTCGTACTTCGGCAGCTCCGTGGAGTCCACCTACCCAAGTTGGCAAGATCGACTCGCAACCGCGGTCAACGTCACACGCGTCAGCGTACAGATGCAGGAGAGCCGGTATGTCCTCGATGCCATGGCACAACTCGTGGAAGACGGCGATACTGGCTTCACCCGTTTCCGGGCGTTCCCTCGGGTGCGAACACTTGTATTCTTCGTCGGACGTGTCGAACGAGCTTTTGCTCCTCGTGGGATGCAGTGGAATGTCGCCGACGCTGTCGCGCTGGCGGAGCTCGTACGGGTGCGCATGGAACATGGGGTCCCTCTGGAGGAGGTCGCGGTCGAGGATGAGATCCAGCATTGGTCGCTGTGGGAGTCTATTAGGCCGATGGTGGGGTCGTTGGTATTCTTCAAAGATAATTACGGTTTCCGGAACTCGGAATAGAATAGGCGCGCTACAAATAATGATGATGCCATAGGCAACCCATCGGACGTATCGTGATCGTGAGACCCTTCAACGAACCAATGTTGAGTGATGAACGACGCGCCCAACTTTCAACGCTGACGACGACGATCATGTCCGAGAACCAAGCCCAGACTCCAGGGTACGCACATGAGTACACGTATCGGACAGTGCGCTGATGTTTGTACAGCGACGCGTGGTTGTCATTTACTCGGTCCCGGTTCAACGCGGACTCGCCCAATGGTGTCGCACATCGTGACCTTAGCGACAAACTTGACTCCGAGTTTACGGCCATGGAACGCGCTATGGTAGAGGCTCGCCGCCTGCGAAACCGTACCCGTCCTGCGTGTTATGCTCCACCCGAGGTTCTGAGCCTCCTCTTTGAGGAAGTGAAGGCGATTTGGGACCCATACGTGCCGGATTTGGGGGAGCCTCTGAGATACGAGTCCGGTTGGATCACTCTCACGCATGTCTGCAGTCTCTGGAGGAAGGTGCGGATGACACACAGCCTTTCAATCATTGTCATACTTAACTCACGGTCCGCAGGTTGCGCTCGATACACCAGCTCTCTGGGCTCGACACTCAAACTGTTTTGATTTGTCGCCACAGTACATACCTGACATTCTCTTTCGATCTCGTATGGTCCCGCTCGACATCGAACTTGACTGGGAGAGAGCGGGTGGGAACGAGATAGACAAGATTCTACCTATCTGGCTCTCATCTCCGGTCGTTCAACGCATCAGGCGTCTCACGCTCACACACTTCGAACGCGAAGAGTTCGACACGGCCTGCTCCCTTTTACCGTCGACTCTCACGAACCTTCGAGAATTGCATGTCTGGTCCTCCCTCTCCGGCGGTGACTCGGGTCGTCAACTACCAGCGGCCTTGTACGAACTCCCGAACGTCACTCACCTGACCCTCGTCGACTGCTATATACCTTGGGAAGCACCCATTTTCTCGCATAATCTCACTCACCTCCACCTCCTATCGACACCCGCGTCGACTGCCCCCTTCTATAGGGTCGCGCGAGATCTCTTCTCCCGTATGACATCCCTTCAGACACTCGAACTAAATACCGAGGTCCCCAGTCCCGACCTGACCACTCCCTCATCGATCCGCCAACGCGAGATCAATTTCCCAGAGTCGCTGCGCGAACTGGATCTCTACATCAAGTCACCTGGCATGGAGGACGGGACCACTTTCTTGTTGGCCAGTCGCATCCCGGCGGCCTGCAGGCAGAATATTGTACTCTACAGTGGAAGGCGCAGGAATTCCGCGTGGAATGGTCCATCAGGTATCGCGCCACATTTGCTAGAGCAGCATTTCCTTGCGCTCTCTGCCGAGACAAGCAAGTCTCTGCTCTTAGATACGACGGCCACGACGTCCGGACCCATAGAGGCGAGCATTCACAAGTACAACAAGCAGCACGCTCCGGCACTCGACAGGTTGTGTATCATGCATTCCGACGTACGCAGACGACTGGTCATGTCCAACATCAACTTCTGCGAACACCTCCCCCACTTTCCTTTGGATCGCTTGCACGTCATTGCACTCGCGCCCCCCGCCGTCCAGCACTTTCACAACACGCGATCCTGGTCGCAGTTGCTTCCTGCCTCGAACGTCTGTGATGTCAGCATACCCGACGCGCTTTGCTCCGAGGCGTTGCAATCTCTCGCTGAGCCTCATTCATCGACGGACGACAAACCACCTTCTCTCGTGTTCCCTCGCATGGGAGTGCTGCGGTTATATCTTCGCGGAGATCGTGAGATGGAGTACATGGCTGTGGTCATCGCCCTCGTAACGCTCATCAACAAGAGGATGGAGAGTGGGACACCCTTGCGCGAGCTGGTAGTGCCGAAGCAGTCGTCTGATTGGGCTGTATGGGGGACGGTGAGGCCGAATGTCACCGTCAGATTTGAGTTATGAGTCTGTCTACATCTTGCTCGCGACTGCTTGTATCCGTATAACTAGGCGCTATCTTCATAATTGCTATATTTGCCGCTTGGTAAAGGGATGTCACGCCACACACAATGCATTCCATTAGATGGATCTCAGTAATGTATGCCAAGTATACGACGGGTAAGTCGGTGAAGGCACTGCTAAAGAACGTCTCCAGAAGCGAAGAGTCGCCTATGCATTGGTTTGTGTGATAGTACGCTTCGTCATCGGCAGCGCGCGTCGACCTGTACCCCGCAGCGACAACTCGTGGGGATGGCCTGTGGCGACAAAGTTCGATATGGCATGTCGATGTCAGCATATGTCGAGCTATTTGGCCTGCGGCAATGTAGCCGTGAAGGGGGACTGGGGAACTCCTGGACAGGTAAGCGTTCAGAAGAAGGATGTCGGTCGGAGTCTTCTACCAAGCGACGGAGTTGCCACGATCTAGCCGCCGGTCTACCATCCCAAGCGCTGGCGCACTTGCGCCGCCCAGGCTGAGCAGCTCGCGCTGACGCGTTCCATACGGTTCCGTTGCAACGTGTACACGTTCATCGTGGGCGTACACGGGCAAGAACGCACCAGCACCGGCCTCCTTCGGCGCTTGCACGCTGACCCGAAGGTGATAGAGTACTTCGAGCATCCCGGGCACGCCCCAGCTTTGCTCGCGCCCGTTCTCGCCAACTGGAACCGCAAGCTGCACGGACGCCATCCCTTCCCGCTCGAGGTCCACATCCAGCGCCGTCGCCGTCCCTAGTACGATCTCTCGCATCATGCCAATCTGGCCGTTGAGATGTAGTTTGGTCCGCCGAGTGAGACGTACGGAAATGCCGTCGGAGAGAATCTTGGGCAGAGCAGGCGCGCCTGGCGCGTGGATGGTGACGCGCACGAGCAAAGTGTGACCTGCAGAGACAGAGGAACCGGCTGGGATGGAGACGAGAACAAGCGGAACGTCAGACTTGGCTGCGAGAGTAGCGCATATGCCCTCGGGCCACATATGTCGGAGCTTGATTGTTTTGAGCGCGCCCATACCGGCAGCGGCAAGTTCGCGCGGCGGGGCATGTGTCGGCCACGATTTGGGCAAGTAGTGAACTGGGATCTTGCGCCTGAACGATGAATAAGGAATCAGGACGTCTTCCGCATGCAAGAGTAAGACGTACTCCTCATGCCGTCGTAGGCCCTTGCGGACGACGTCGACCTTGACGAAGTAAGACACTTCGCAGGTCATGCCTGGTGACCATGCCATATAAGTAGGGGGAAGCGAAGCTTGCACGCCTTTCGGGGTCTTGAAGTGTTCTGGGAAGCGTAGACTGAACCCGAAGCAGTAATCTGTCGGATAGAAAGGAGGCTCTCCGGGCTTAGCGCTGTCAGTGTTGGGATTTGGAAGGTCCACCGTCTGCTTCACTATAGTGTACTGTTCCATGCTCGTCGCCGCGCGAGCTCCACGTATTGTCGCAGTGATGTCCACCTTGCCTATCAACTGGGGCGCATCATCAGTACCACGCCATGACACGAGACAGAAGGGACACGCACGCTAACGGTAACTTTCGTCGCATGCGTAAGCTTCTTTCCCAGACGAACGTAGCCATTGACCTCGCCATGAGCGCCGTACGCCGGATGTCGCAGACCCCAGAAGCGCCGTCCGAGGCTCACGGCAAGTAGACTCCCACCAAAGCAGTATGCATGCGTTGCGTTCCATAGCAGAGGGTTGTCGACGCCTAGTGGTTGGGCTAGTGGTGTAGGACCAACAGGCGCCAGGCGGGGTAGCCGGTCCTCGCTATCGGTCGGAGTTTGCGGAGGTGAATCGTGGGTATGGAGTGACCATTCGTGCGCGTGAGCTTCAGGTGTGTATGGTGGACTCGACGGTCCTTCGTCGAGCAGCATGGGCGCGTCGGGGTGCGCGGAAGGTATTGGTAGCGCATGCGGGGTATAGTCCGGCGCAGGAGGTAGAGTCGCAGAGTCGGCCGCGAAATCCCGAGGATTCCAACTCATGTCCACCATGGTTCGGGGCTGCGGTGATGTAGAAGCTGATGCGGCGCGCGATATGAGCGTCTAGCGGCGGTGTATCTACAGAGTTTGTGCAATCCGTCAAACGCTGCCTCGAGGTTTGCAACAACAAGTGGGACACGGACATCGCGCAGAGAGAGATAAGACGTCGTCCGTAAATGGCACAACGCTCACAAGCCGAGTACGGGGAAAGGAATCAGAGGTTTCGCAGGGAAAGACGCCGTCAATGTCGCGAGCGATAAGAGCGCGGCGTGCCTAGGACTGTGCGTCCGATATATATGAGCATAACCTCAGACGTCGCAACCGCAAACGCAACGCACGAGCTGCAGGATGCACCGTCGGGAGTCGATGAAACCGCAGGGTCGTCAGTGCAGCGGACAAGAGAGGTCTGGCGACCGTCCCCACATCTATCAAGCCACTATAAGTACATTCCCAGCCCCGTTCGCCCTTATCCACGAGTCATACTTCCCCTTCTGTTGAATCAGCAGGCGGCATAATGCGTTAGACTTCCGCGGTGTCCGCGCCTGCTGAATCAAGGAGCCATTTCAAGGGGCCGACGACCATCGGCCGATCTCGACTGCAGCCTTTGCTACGTCCCTGGCGGCTGTGGCCAGTACAAGACGTCGAGTCAAACATCCAAGGGAAGAGAGGGTAGAGAACTGGTGGGGTCGCCGAGTGGGGATCTGCGACTGTACAGATACTCTATGGGGCGCTCATCTGGCGTATGATGGACGTAAGAAGTCGCAGCTGGGTGTGCACCGTCGCTACGCCTGTTTGCGCGTAGCGCGCGCAAAGGCGTGCTTATGGCGCTTCTGCTCATGCAGGTAGAGTTGATCCCCGAGCGATTGCGACAAATAGTCTATAGACCCTGCGAAAACATAGTATAGGTAGCGAACGTTCGAGCGCGTAGCTATCATTGGTCAAGTGCTCACCCAGTTGCGCGCAGCCCATAAGCGCCATACGTGTTGAGAACTCAAATATTTGATGCGGTCACCCGGCGCCTCTCCGAGCGTACTCCCTCGACTCATCGCGGGCGTCCGCTGTCATAGACAAATGCAGCTGTACCTATCCCGCCTTTGTTCCCCGACGTTCGTCGTGCGTCGTGGCTCGCAAGGAAGAAAGCGCCGCGCGAGGTTTTCTCTATTTTTCCGTGCAAGTTCCGGTTTCCGCAGGCACGTGTGGGCGCCTATCACGGATCAGGTACATCCGCCAGGCCGGCACCTCACCGGTCTCGAATGCGGGGTAGCCAGTAACGACGACATCGTTCGCCACTCTTCACAGGCCGCTCACTCAGCTCAATATCTCCGTTCAGGACTGGGATACAGTTGGCGATCCAGCTACAGAGGGACGCGCTGGTCAAGGTTCAGAGCTTGCTTGCCTCGACATCATATCGATCACACTACTACTCAATATGCGTGCAACTATACCTGCTTTGCAGCAGCTCTCGTCAAGCGCTCAAAGAGCGCGCTCGTACGCGTTCATAGGACTTGGGCGCATGGGGAAAGAACAGGCCTTCAATCTGTTCTCCAAGACCCATTCTGCCGACCCATCTGCGCGCTTTGTCGTATGCGACGCCGTGCCCGCAGCGGCCGAGTCATTCTGCGCTAACTTCGCCTCGCATTTCCCCGCTGCACGACAGCTCGTTACAGTTGCTTTAACGCCTGCGGATGCCCTTAGTCAGAGCGCAACAGTTGTTACGATGCTTCCGGCTTCTCCGGAGGTGAAGAAGGTCTATACTCAAGCAGAAGGAATGTTGCCCGCGTTGAGGGAGATGGGCGAGCGAGATCGTCGAGAAACGCTGTTCGTGGATAGCACAACGCTTGATGTCTCAGTTGGTCGCGCTGTTGCGGCTGAAGCTGAAGAAGCCGGTGCTGCCATGGTTGACGCGCCCGTATCCGGCGGTAAAGTCTTTCCTCAAGCGCTACTATGGCCGGACGCTCATGCTGCATCCTTACAGGCGTCACAGGTGCTAAGGCGGCTACCCTTGCATTCATGGTTGGAGGCCCTGTTCCTTCATTCGAACGTGCGCAGCCGTTGTTGACCCGTATGGGTTCACGGATAGTGCATTGCGGCCCGTCAGGCGCAGGATTGGCTGCGAAGATCTGTAACAATCTAGTCCTTGGTGTACAACAAATCGTCGTCGGCGAAGCCATGTTGCTGGGCGAAAGACTCGGGCTCGAACCGCGCGTGTTGGCGGAAGTGATCAACAACTCTACTGGCCGATGCTGGGCGAGCGAGGTGAACAACCCAGTGGCAGGAGCTCTTCTGGAGAAGTCGCCACCTTGTGACAGGGACTACGAGGGTGGCTTCGCGACGCTGCTGATGTTGAAGGTTAGTCGCGGTCAATTCGGGCTTGATGGCAAGTCCGGCGGAAGCTGATGCGCCTCGGAATTATTTCACAGGACCTCGGGCTTGCCAGTGAGGCGGGACTAGAAACTGGCACGAAGCTACCGTTGGGAGAGAAAGCGCAGGATATATACAGAGCGGCAGTGCAGGCGAAGCCAGAGCTGGGGCGGAAGGACTTTAGCAGCGTATATCAGCATCTGAAGTAGCCGCGATTACGTAAATATGAAAAGTCATTATGTCGCTGATCGCGATGTGAGACTGGTCGCCTTGTTCTCGACGGTCGCCGCGTCTTCCTTCCCATCTTCCACAACGGCCTCCATGTCAGACAAGCCGTCTGTCCTCATTCTCGGTACTTCATTTGCGCATCCTGTCAAAGTTAAGGCGCCTAATGGAGAACGAATCCAGGCGGCGTCAGCCACTGCTCGCGGGCGCTTGCCAACCTGTTGTGCCCTCCGGCAGAAGAGGCCAAAGTTGCCGTGCGTGCTACCTTTGTACGGTTGAGATTAATGAATTCTGATTATAATGTCAATAGCATCTGCGCATCGCCGACAAATATTCGGTACACCCGCCTACAACGTGCGTCTGCGCACCATTCGCCGTCATTTCTCCACCTGCTCACACTCGAACTCAATCCGTAGATATATCGGCCCCGAATTCCGCCAAACGATAGAAAGCCCTGCTATTGAATACAAACAGGCGAACCTCACTGTACCAGGTGCGTGCCCACCGTTGCCGTGAAGCCTGAAGACGTGACTGACTCTGCCATCAGCGACCGTCAGCTCGTTATTCGACCCTCCGGAGGGCGTCGACCCCTATTCCATTGTATTTGACCTGACTGGTGACCTTAATTATGAGCGTGGCGAAGAGGTACGCTACCAGAATATCCTCTGTCGCTTTCTGGGCTGAGCCCGATATCCCTGTCCTTGCAGTTTCACATCAAGAACACAGCGAATGTCGCACATATTTGCGCGACGGAGGCTGCCCGGAGAAAGGTCGCTGCATACGTCCGCATCCAGCCGCCGTACTATGAGTGCTCTGAAAAGGGCACGCACGACGAGAGTGATGATCCCAAGCCGTTGAATGCTGTTGGCACGTGGTGGCATGAGGCTCTGCGTATAGTTGGTGATGTGCAGGAGTGCGTATACAGTATTTTCTCGCAAAAACATCTACTGAGACACTGTCCACAGTTTGAATCTTGTCGTCGTGCGGATAGGCTTCCTGTACGGGCCTTACCAGGCACAGGCGTACAGTAAGCTTCTTTCTTCCATCCCGCGGCGCATCGAACGAGAACTGATTGTGCGGCGCAGTGACGTCCGTCTTGACCGTTGCGTCTGTCTACGGCTATCTCAAGAAGCCGATGAAGTCGCTCTGGTCACCGGGGAAGCACCCGATGCACACGGTCCATGTGGACGACATCGCAGGCGCGTTATGGGCCTGCGCACAATGGATGGTTCCATTAGGACGCGAGAAGGCGGAGTCCGAGGCTGGTGTCGCTATACCCTTCCACAACGACCCAGCCAAGTTGGCGGACGTGGCTGGTGCGCCAGCGCCGGAAAAGAAGGTTGTCGTGCCGTTGTTCAACCTCGTCGACGACAACGAGACCACGCTGGTCAAGGCGGGCTCGACCATGTGCGAGTTATTTGGAACAAAGTTTGACTTCTACAACTTCGTGACCAGCGCGATGTTCCGCGTGAGTACTTTGTGCTACAGCTTCTCAGAGCGTGATCTAATGATGATGCGCAGTTCCGCTTGGAAGATGTTGTTGAAGAAATCAACGAGGTGCACGTCAGCGCATGGGCGGAGATGTTGATGAAGAACTCTCCGCCGATCACGAGCTCGCCCGTCACCGCGTACATGGACGTCTGGTCGTTGCAAAAACACACTGTCGCGTTCAGCAACGAGAAACTCAAACGCATAGTCGGATACCAGCTGAAGCGCCCGCACATGACCCAAGATGTTCTTCGCGAGATCGTCGACAAGTGGAAGGCGGAGGGCTCGTGGCCGAACGTCGCCTGAGGACATTCAGCCCGCCAGTGACAACGACCGAGCCGCCCATAGGGCGGCGATGACCCGCATTGACATGAATGTCTGTCCGCCTCTCTCGCCGTTGTTGTGTGTGCCCGTTGCTGTTGTTGTGCTGTTGCGTCGCGCTTCGTCATGCTCCCGCCTCTCATCCTGTGGATCCCCAGCCTGTGCACACTGTCTTATATTCCATCCCCTACGTCTCGTGTTTATTCCATTTTTGCCACCCTGCTGTTTCATCCCCCATGCTACCAATCCCCTCCAACCTCCCTACTGTCACTATTGGCTCATCAAAGACTGCGTCTCCGTCGTGCACCTCTATCCCGCCCCGCACATGTCCTCTTCAGTTTAGCGTAGAGGATCAGCGTTTGAACCCGATGACGGTCCAGCAATGTATCTACAGTACCCCACTTTTACGACTAATAATGATATGGGTCTGGTTCCTCGGATGCTGCGGCTTCATACGAAGGAACGCATTGCAAGGTCTGGGCTTCGTCGGCAAGACGAGGGTGTCGAAATTTGCTCAACAGCTGACTGGAAGGAGGAACTGTTTGCCCATATTGTGTTGAACAAAACTCGCAGTGCTACGACATCTTGCAAGCTGCGTGCAATATATTATACTCCGAAAGCGACGCTATGGCAGCCGTATAATGCAGCCAGTACACGAGAACCGCCGTCTTCGCCTGCGCCCGCCGCCACATAGAGCGGCACGAAATGGTCCTCTCGAGGGTGAGCTGCACGGAAACCTGCGTGCGTGACAAGGCCGACAAGTGCCTTCTCCCGCTCCTTCGGCTAAGGAGACTGTGAGCAACAGACTGCGGACGGCGAGACTGAGACTCACGTCTTGAATGGGTAGTGCTTCGGTAACCGCGTCGCTGAAAGCACGCGCCCGCTGATTGGCAGTATCAGGATGGAAGGCGCCGAAATCGCGGAGGTTGTGGACCGTCAGACCGCCAGAGATGACGAGAATGCCTTCTTCGCGTAGCTTAGCCACGGCGCGTCCGAGAGCAAGGTTACCCTCCGGAGTAAGAGAACCGTCGATGGATGCTTGCACGATGGGAATCGACTTGAAGTTCTCGGAGAACATGATGCGGAAGGGGAAGAAAACGCCATGGTCGAACCCTGGGCCATGGAAGCCGCGACCGTCCATCCCGCGCGTCTCGGACGCAGGGGTTGTACGCGCCAGCATACCTGCCTGTAGCCGAGCGTTCATCAGCTCGGTTGCAGACCAATGAGCAACAACCAGAACTGACCTCCTTGAAGAGCTCCACAACCCTCTCCGACAACGCCTTATCTCCCCTACTCTCAAACTTGATCTCGTACATATGCTTGTCGAAGCCGAAGTAGTCCATCAAGAGCGGGTTGCTGTCGCCATAGTCCGTCACAAGACGCTCGCCGTTCGTTTCCCAGTGCGCGCTGAACACTACGATTCCCTTCGGCTTGTACTTTTCCAACAGTGCAGGACCGAGATCTCCGAGGAAAGTCGCCAGAGGACCTTTTGCGCCCATGTAGTTCACGACTGACGCGGGCATGTGCGGCGCGTTTTCGGGCGTCATGACGAGCATCGGGCTACCGTGTGCGATGAAGATAGACGGGATGCGCTCCGGAGTATTTGGCAACGCGTCGATCGCGGCTTTCCAGTCTTCGCGCGTGGTTGGTAGAGCGGAAGAAGACATTGCAGCAGAAGTAGAGGCTGAGCGACTGAGACGAAGAGAGGATAGAAGGGACGGCAGCTTGGTGTACAAGGCTAGGGCAGCGATGATGCCTATTGTGAGAGACAGAAAGAGACTAGGTTTGAAGAACATCGTCGTAGAGCGCCGGAAGGGCTGGGCTATATACAACCCGTTCTCAGTGATTACACAATCCTCGTAATCTCGGAAGCGTCATGAGCTATAAGCAGGGCTCGACGGATGCGCGATCTCCGGTACTGGCCCGCGGTATGCATGTTACAAGTATGAGGGGGGGCTTGTGAGGGTGAGAACCGATTCTCACGGAGAGCGGTGCAACATGACGGCAGGAGACAAGCCATCGAACAAGATTGTAATCTGCTTACTGAAGCCACGCCGCCACAGCTGCCGACCACGCATTGTCGCCACGCGCGGACCTGATCGACGCGCCGTCGTGACTTGATCTCATACCGCCATGAGTGGGCGAACCTTCCTTCGCGGTACAACTGTCCGCAAGAATGCGTCGGGCGCAACAACGCGTGCTGGGACGCCTCATACAGCTCAGGCCGGGAATGCAAATATATACGGCGGTGGCGTCAAAGACCCAACTGGTAGAACGCCGGAGTATTCGGTGGGTAGCGGGCCAGTATGCAGGGCTACACCGTTGACAGATGGCTAGAGTATGGATGACCAATGTCCCGTATGCAAATCCGATAGGTATTTGAATCCGAAGCTGCGGCTACTCGTCAGCACGTGCTACCACAAGATGTATGTTTCCGGAAGTGCCTGAGCCGCGCCACACCAGAAGCTGATAGAGCTCAGGTGCGAGTCGTGTATTGACCGCCTGTTCACTCTCGGTCCTGCGCCATGTCCGATATGCAACAAGATCCAGCGCAAGATGGCATTCACGCCGCAGACGTTCGAGGACTTGACTGTGGAGAAGGAGGTAGCGGTACGGCGGCGTATGGCTAAAGAGTCAGTGTCTCTCTCGAGCGGCGCCTTCGATAATTGACTTGTACCAGGTTCAACAAGAAGCGGGAAGACTTCGATGACCTACGACAGTACAATGACTACCTAGAGATGGTCGAAGATATTGGTATGCAACGGCATCCTAGTGTCCCAACATGATAGCTGACACAATCCGTAGCTTTCAATCTCATCAACGACGAGAACATCGAGGAGACTGAGGCTCGCATAGCGAAGTTCAGAGCAGAGAATGCCGCCATTGTCGCTCGCAACGCCGAACGTGATGAGGCTTACGCTCAGCAGTTGAAGGAGCAGGAGGCAGAGGAGAAACGACAGAGGGCCGCGCGTGCCGAGGAGCTACGTGCAGCCGAGGAGGCAGAACGAGCGGCTCGCGAAGCCGAGCGGCGGGCGCTCATTGACTCTCTCGAAGCCTCGGACGCAGATGCCGCGCGCTTGGTGCACAAGGCGCGCAGGGAGGCCTTGAAACGTGCCGCGGCACGGACGGCTGCCGCACAAGAGAACGTACGGCAACAAAGCAACGCACAACTTTTGCGTCAACGCGCTGCTGCTGCCAAAGCTACGCCCGATGAGCCACATGTCCCGATAAACGACCGCTGGTACGCGCATGAGGACATGTACGAGCGGCTGCCGACGTACTTCGACCCGCAAAGCGAGGCGGTCAGGAAAGACCGAGAAGGCGTCATGCGCGCAGGCGGCTATCGCGTCGAAGAGGCTTGGGAGCGTGCTCTGAGATCATCCGTTGCTGGACTATCGATAGCACCGCTCGTTGGGCTCGGGGTCGACAAGGCCGGAGACGCCGTCATGAGCGAGGCGTGAGTACGGGGTCTCACGATCGGTCCGGCTTGCATTTGCTTTCGTTATACCTCATTAGGAATATAGCCTTCCCGCTTCCAGCTGTTGTAACAGAATCAACGTCGATTTGCCCATTGCTGATGCATCATAAGGGTCTGCAGAGTGCACCACAGCCCAGCGTGAGTATGTGTTCTCACGCGCTCTCACGCTAACATATCTTCGTTCATGCCCATTGCGTGACTGTCATCTAATTCGCTTGGACTCCTGTGCTACTACAGCTAATTAATCTCCACCAGTCACCCTTCAGAAGAATGTAACGGCTACTTCGTCTCGAAGTGTATCCCATACTGCCCAATTTTCCGCCGCTTTCGAGATGATGATCTCCCTTAACGGGAGAACGACGTCGGACCGCTTCCTGGCAAGGATGACATTTGTCAAGGCCGTGGACTCCGCGATAAACATCGCCCCTCTCAGAACGCTCTCTTTCACGTGAATCACGAGTGTCTCTAGGAGGGGAAATAGAGGTGCTCGTAAGTTCCCTTCGTCGAGGGAGGGAGCCGATGAGAGATGTTCCGCGAGCATGTGTAAGAGAGAAGAGGCCGACGGGTATGGAATGATGATCCCCAATCGACGAACTATTGTCGCGTGGCTGGCCAGGTAGTCGAGTCTGACCGCGTTGTGGATCTCGAGGAGATTGGCGGAGAAAGTTATGGCAAGGGCGTGCTCCAAGGTAACGTTCGTGTGAAAGAATCCCGGGCCGGGCACATTGCCAATGGAACTCAAGTGCCGCGTTGGCGACTCAAAGCGCGGGTCGCGATATCGCCCCTGCCAGGCTATCTCGTACTGGTTGGGAGTGGCATACCAGCCCTTGGTCCAGTGTTCGCGCGGTTGTGTGTCGACGAACCCGGCGACAGTACACATATTGAAGATCAATTCTCGGAATTGAGGGCTGTCGTCTTGGTCGTCAAACTGAAAAATGTTGGATATGCAACGTTCTACGAGCGCCTCAGAGGCCTTTGGAGCAACACTCCCTCCCGAGCGAATATGGCTGAATGTCGAGTCTTGCATCCTGAAGAGTGTTGAACACTGTGCGGGGATTCGTAGGCATGTCGTGAATTGCAAAGCGCGGTCTACATTTTCATGCATCGTGTGGAGCTGGAATAAGCGTAGAGTCGATGGAAGTGATATTTTATCTGTGTCGTCGCAGTCTTGAGGATGGATGTTCTCGAGGATCAGCGTCTCCAAGGTTGGAAGACGAGAGAGCATAGCCTGGAATTGATCGAGCGTTGGTAGACAAGCTAACGTCACTTTGTCGAGGAATCCTAGCTTTAGGTAGACCATATTGGCAGAAAATACGGCGGAGTCCCAGGGCGGACGATAGTATCTGAGAGACAGTCGCCGAATTTGGGACATGCTATGCAGGTGCGGCGGCAGCTCGAACGCGGGGCAAGATTCGGACAGCGGTAATCCAATGATCACCAGCTCCTGAAGCTGTGGCATCTCTCGGGGTATCTCCGTAACCGGCCATCGCTTCGCTGAAATGAACTCGCGTAGACAGAGGCGCCTTGTACGATGTGCTAACGCCGGGGACAGCCAGAGTTCCATTGGGTGAGTGCTCCGGCCGCTAGGGCGCTCAAACTCGATAGCCTCGTCCCACTTGTACGTGATATCGATCAGTAGATCTCGAGAGCGAAGGAGTGTGGCAGGGATGAAGTTAGGTGAGATGTCCTGTGCGTTTACGTGCGTAGCCCAAAGACTGGGCGAGTTGAGTGCAATCTGGAGAGTCAGGTCAAATTTCGTCATCCGTCTTACAGTGAGATAGCAGACCTCGCGCATACGACTACAGACGTGAGCTGTAGTAAACCATCCTGACTGATAGACGATAGATTTATGACCGCCTGAACGGCGAGAAGGTGGCCAGAATGCCTTAAGTTGCTCGAGAATCGAAGTCAAAACTTCGGACGGAAGTCGCAATAGGGAGGTTCCAGCATTCCTCAACCGCAGGGCTCTGATATAGGCCTTCTTCACAGAGAGTACTTCTGCATCGAGCATAGCAAGTCGCCCGGCGGCCGAAACCTCGCTTCTCACGAGAGGAGAAAAGCGCGCATCGACGAACTTCTCCCAGCCTGCTCTATGATACTCTTGTTGAGTGTCATCGTTCAAGCTCGTAACTGGGTGCTCACTCTGCTCCGCCGTTCTCTGAGACCATCGTGGTTTCGTCGAAGAGTGCACAAGCGAACTAAGGCGAACGATGGCGGCGCCATGTGAAACACACGCGGCTTGCCTTTGATGCAAAAAAACCAGCATGAACTTGCGTGAAATATTATATGGTGCTTCTACGTTATCCACGGCGAACGTCGCAAGGCGTTGGGCGCTGTAAATGCTGTTTCGAACTCTCAATTCATTCTTCCTCTGCGGCACGGCGTGATACGTGACGTACACATAAATCCAAAACTAAGTAGCAATGGCCATTAAGATACCACGAAGCAGCGTACAACGACAGCGCGTAACGAAACGAACGAGAGTTAAATATACATAGGTTCCTGCAAGCACCACATAAGGCTATGCGATCACACACTCCTTCTCCGCCTGCTGGCGCGTCGGCCGCGCGATCGCCGAGCGCTTGTTGCCCTGGCGCTTCATCTCCGTGAGACGGTTCATCGCGCGCTTATTGCCTTGAGCTGTAAACGCGCGTCAGTATAAGAGCTCTCGGCGATGAGGGAAGGACGTACCAGCAGCACGCATATACCACCTCTTCGCGAACTCAACATCCTGCTTGATCCCGATCCCAACCTCAGCATAATACCCCACCGCATACTCCGCCTTGCTCAAGCCCTTATTCGCCGCCCTCCTCGCCCACAGATACGCCTCGGAGTCGCTCTGCTTCAACACGCCCTCACTGCCGGTCAAGTACCACCCACTCAGCGCAAGCTCGGCCTCGCTGTTGCCTTTCTCCGCCGCCTTAGTGTACCACGCGATACTCCGGCGCGGGTCGACGGGGCAGCCGAGCGCGCCGTATTCGTAGCATTGGCCGAGTTTGTATTGGGATTGGGTGTAACCGAGGTAGGCAGCACGGGTGTAGAGCTCGCGGGCTTGGATTGGGTCGTATTGGACGATCTGACCGTTGGGGTTCTCGTGGAGTAATGCGAGCTCGTGTAGAGCGTGCGGGTACTCTTCGTCTGCCTGCTCCGCCGCGCGTCGAAGCCATCCGACGGCTTCGCGCGGGTTGCGAGCTTCACCGAGAGACCCTTGAAGCAGGATCATGCCGAGCTTGTACATGGCCGGTGTATCGCCCAGCGATGCCGCCTTGCGGTAGAACGCCGATGCACGCGCGGGATCCTTCCGTGTACCGGCGCCGATCTCGTTGCACACTGCAACGCGGTACGTCGCAGCTGCGTGGTTCTGCTTCGCGGCTTGCAAGTAGAGGTGGTACGCTTTCTCGTGATCGACCTGCAATCCCAGCATACCTGTCCCATGACAATTCGCCAGGAAGAACTGCGCCTCGTCGTACGGCTGTCCCTGCGTAGCCAGACGCCGGATAGTCTTCAACGACTCTTGGATGAGCGTATCACGGTACTTCCGTACGGCCCGCTGGTCCTTCGCGTCCCCGCCGATCTTCTTCGCCGCGTCTATGAGGTACCGAGCGTACGCGAAGTGGGCTTCGGGATCCGGATCGGCTTTGATGCGTTGCCTGTAGTCGTCGATGTACTGCTTCGTATACGGCGGTGCGCGCAAGTCGACGGCTTTGGTTTTGGCTGTACGAAGGACCGCAGCGCTGTCACCACGTCCGCCCATACCGGGCCGTCCACCGAGCTCGAACTCGGGCTCCTCCTGTTGCGACTGTACAGAAGGCGCAATAGAAGGAGCCTGAGGCGACGTGACGTGTGTACCAGCAGAATGGAACGACGCAGCGCTAGACGAAGGACCAGAGTTATTCGAGCCGAACGACGCGACGCTTTGAGCGTAACGAGGGTCTGGTGGACCTTGCTGGTAGTAGTCTTGTTGCTGCTGTTGCTGGGCGTACTGAGCATACGCAGCGGGGTCGTACTGCGCGTACGCATTTGGGTCCGGAGAGGCGTATTGTCCCGGCGCGGGTGCTCCAAGCACATCCGACGCAGCAGAGTAATACTGATTATGCCCGTATTCGGATTGCGAATATGTAGACTGGGCGTATTGACTCTGCTGGTAGTACCCTTGATCGTAGTACCCGTTGTTCGGCTGGGCGTATTGCTGTTGTTGCTGTTGCTGAGCATATGGATCGGGAATATAAGCCTGAGCAGGCTGAGCCTGAGTCTGCGCACGTCCAGGCGGGCGAATATCGCGCGACGGTAGGCCAGCATGAGCGTGGTGGCCGTCCTGGTCGGATCCGACGGAGGCGCGTGAGGCGTAGTAGCGTGAATCAGATGCGACGCTGGGCGCGATGCTCGGCGCGACGGACGGCGCACGGGCCGGGGCAGCCGACGAGGCGCGCGCGACGGGGTCTGAGACGTGCAGAGACTTGAAGCTGTCTAGCGCCGCCGTCGGGTCGTATTGGCTCGGCAACGGCGGCACGGAGTCGCCGTCCTCGTACGCGGGCGGTGAAGCCAGGTTCGGCACACTCCGATTTGCGTGCATCGACAACTCTGTATTTATTCAATATCGTGTGCAGTACGGGATTGGGATTGAACAGACGTTGTTGATTCCTATAACCATTCCAGGCGTCGCCATTGCCAGCTTGGCCGTCGTTCGCAGAGTGCGGCGTCTCGGCCATCAAGCTTCAAGAACAAAGAATATCTACGCAGATCAGCTCAGTTTGCTGTCACTCGACATGTGCTCGGACACGCACAAGGTGGAGGGTATCGAGTAAAGTGACGGTATCTGGCCCCGGAGGAGGACGATGTATGGGAGAAGTGCGAAAGGATGATGGTGTTTCGTGCAAGTGGATGTGGATCAAAGATGAAGCTAGTCGTGGCGGAAAGCAAGCGCTCGCTGCTCGCGCGCTCGGCTGACCGGCACGGTCGCCGAGACGCGCGCGGTGGGGAGTCGGACCAGCAGGTTACGATACTATTCCATATCGGGAACTAACGCGGGACGTGCACTAGAAGTAGAAAATAAGGTAACAAGACAACAAGAAGACTGCGGACACTCCAACGTCGCGACTGCGCTACGATATGTAATCAAAATGATCATGCCGAATCCCATCTCCACGTCTCGAGCACGGACGATACTCGATGTCGCTCGAGTCCTTTAGTCGTCTTCCGCGCTTTGACAGTGACAACCTCTCTCGTACTGACTACCACCTTCTCCTTCTCCTTCTCATCGCCATCCTCCATCTTGACGTCCTCATCGCCACCACCAACCAACCACTCGCTATCCTGTGCGAGCTCTCCTTCTGGTCTTGCCCGGTACCGCGTCTCCTCGGCACTCTTGCTGCTCTGGCTCATGGCCTCCCAGCTCTTCGGCTGAAAGTTCCTGAACTGTACACCACCATGCACGCCGTCGTCCGCCACCTCTCTCTTCCTCTTCGGCCGCCCAGGTCCTCGGCCAGTACCAGCACTGGGCGCAGGCGACGCCTCATGCTCCTCCCCATCACTGTCTACACCTCTCGCTAATCTTACCCTCCACCTCAACTCTCTGGCCACTGCACACGCGTCCTTGACTTTATCCGCCGGGACCTGCTCTCGAGCTTCCTTCTTCGTACTCTCGTTGCCGCGCTCGATGAGTCGGGCTTGGGAGACGAGGAAGACGGAGACGGCTTCGATGGAGGAGAGGACGCGCGGCGGGAAGTCTTCCTTTGCTCGGAGGGAGCGTAGGAATGATTCGCCGACGTACCAGGAGAGCTTGATGAAGTAGGGGAAGCGGAATTTCTTGGGCACGCGTGTCGCAATCTCGATCTCGCGTACACGTAGTTCTGTGCCAGATGTTAGTCAAGTACGGTTGAGGAATGGAATGTACGAATAGACTCACGCTTGGCAGCATCGTACGAGTGTAGGAAGTTTCCACCGAAGACCAGGGCGTCCTGTGGCGTGTACTGGGGATTGCGTGAGCTTTGACGATGCTTGTATGATGTATGCAGGCTCTTACCACGGCGTGTATCCATCCTGTGGGTATGATCATCGTGTTCCCCGCCGTAAGTTCAACTTTCATGACCTCGTCTACCATGTCGCCCAGCCACGTGTTCATTTGCATCTCGCTACCTGACCAGCGCTCGTATGCGGCGAGATTGGCGGGCGTGGGCTTGATGAACAAGAACGTCTGCAACGTCAGTCATGAGTATGATGAATCACACATGCCCGAATATAGTTGGTGGCGAACATACCTTCGCGCCCTTCAAGATGTGGTAATATACTGAGGAACCTGCGAAGTCTATATGCCAATCCTGGTTCGATGAGGAAGCGTAAGAGGAGAAGACCAATGCATCTCACCGTCCACGAGTCCTGTGTACCCCTATGATTTGCATGTCAGCACACCAGCGCAATGTACACGAACAGCAGATGCAGACTTACATCAGACAGTACAGCTGCACCTTTGGCCACGCCGTACCCTTCCCCTTCTTATTCGCCGGCCAGTACTTCTCCACCCAGTCCAGCTCGCGCACAATCCTCGGCGGCAGAACCTTTTCGGCCAACTTGGTGCCACTGATCTCGAGCGAAATGACGTTCCTGACTTTGTCGCGTTCGCTTATGGGCGTGTGATAGTACTCTGCCCATTTGCCTAGCGTCCAGCCTGAGAGTCCGGATTGGCTTGCTACGTCTATACCAAGCACCATTATAAGCTTTGGAGGTACATGGAAGCGGATGTGAGAACACACCGATGACTTCGACCGACGTGTCCTCGCCCAACATATCCGATATATCCTTGACAGTGATACTCTCGTCGGGCATATCCATGCCTAGCCCTTCCGGACTCTCAATGAGAACAGGAACGGTCATAGCCTCCTCGTCTCTCTCCAGCCACTCCGCATTTACATCGGCCCCTTTCATCCGTGGAAACGCGTCGGGCGCCAATGCTGCGCTGTTCAACATCTTGGACCATTTCGACGCGTCGCCTGTCACGCCGTTGTTCAAGTTCGCGTAATCCCGTACAGGTTTCCTTCGCGTTGATTTGCGCGTGGGCGGTTTGAGCGTTACGCGGTGTTTAGGTGATTGAGCTCGACAGGGTTCGCAGAACCTGACAGTGTACAAAGAAATACATATTTCAATTTATATCCTAGTATGGGTATGGATGCGGGCACGAGCGCACCATTTGTCTATCTGACTGAGCTCTTGGCCGTCGACGGCCACACAGCGCCAGTGAAACCAATCCTTACACGCGTCGCACCTCACCCAGTTCTCCTTCTCCTCTGGCGCGGCCTCGCCCTCCGTACACGCCGGACACCTCTCTTCGGTAGTAGACGCCGACGGCTCGTCGGTAGAGTCGACTTCGACTATTTCGACGTCGGCGTCGGTGTTGGTGGAGTCTTCTTCTTTCACGGACATGATTATGTATGCAGTATTAGGGAGCTATTGGTGTGATGATGAATGATGGTGGTGGGAGTGCGAGACGCGTTTGGGATGGCTGCGCGTGAAGGGCGCGCGTTGTGTGACGCGCGAGTGTGGCCGGGCCGAAGAGGCGGTCACGCCCTACAAGAATCGACGGTCCGAAAACTAACTAATGGCGGCAAGTCGCGTCAAACCTCCTGAAATTCCCGCGAATCCCGGTGATGCCGCCTTCGGTGTCCGTGAATCCTCGCAAGTGCGGGCAAATAACTTCCAGATTGGCGGGGATTCTCTAATGCACGTGAGCGGGGATATGAGATAGCCAGAGAGATGCCGTTGTCGTCGGGAAGCCGAGCAGTTTGCGTCGTGCGGCGCGTGAGCGACTTCTGTTCGGCGATGCCCGCGATGTTCACATCGGTGCTGTGTTCCCGAGTTCGCACTGGCGTTCTTGCCCTCGTTCCAATGCCATACATTCCTGCCGACAAGTATTGTAGTTGCAGAGTATGTTGTCCACATACTCTGCTTCCCTATGATATCTGGGGTCAGCATCAAGGCCTTCGTGAGGAAGAAAGTGATGATTCGGGGGAGGCCGCCGCGGAGATGGACTCCGACCCAGACTCGGAGATACCACCTCTCGGCTCACCTCCCTGTGACGCTCGCGATGGCCCGTCGTTTCGCATTGTGCTGTGAGTGCATCAGTAGTTGACAAGTAAGACAATAGTACTCGATGAGCCGCCCGTGGATGCAGACACATCTACTACTAGGACATAGTTCGTGACGCCATCGGCAGAGAGCACCGTGGCCGAATTCAGACCAGCAGCATGTTGGATCGCTGTGAGCTAGGCAACAGCATGCGCATCTGGTCGACGAAACACGTAGCGACACACCTGCCCGGTTTGTACGTGCACCTCGAAATATTTCGGATGTCTACACTACATCCCAAGAGCAGTAAAACGTGTAAGCCATAGAATTGCATGTAGCGAGGATACTGCGGCGAGCAAGGTGGAGACCACGGTGCGGTGCGACAACCAGACTACGATTCGATGTATGTACCGAGTGGATAGTCATAATGCATGTCTTGCAGCAAGGTAAATATTTGAGATCTGTCCTCCAGACTCTTCGTACAGAACTACTTGTAGAACCTGTTTCGTACCAGATATGCCGAGCTTCGCAGTCCGAGAGGGGCGAGAGTAAACTTGCATGTACATACACAAGACGTAGCCATTGTACCTAAGGATCGGGACAATAAGTAGTAGGGAACCTGTCGGGGGTAAGCCACTATAAAGTAAAGGAGGTGGAGACAAGGTCGGATGAATGCACCGAGACGAGTGGCCGCAAACGCGGTCTTCGGCGAAGATATTGCGAGAGCATGGCACAGGCTTGTGCGAGCTAGAAACAACTCAAGTGCAGAGCTCCCCGGACTTGGCGCAAACACGAGTGCCAGGACAATCGCCCCCTTGTACTGCGCGACGACAAGGTGCGCGTGGTTGGAGCAGGCTTCTGGTTGATCGACGTAGCGCGGGGCCGGGCGTGCGCGAGCGGGCACCCTCGGTCTGGGCGGCAATCTCCCGGTTGGACTGGTACTCGTCGGCGTGTAGCCACTTGATGAGCGTAGCCTTCATGGCGAACTTGATCAAGTCGAGCGGGAGGAACTAGACGATGTTCTGAAGAGGAGAGTAAGCACTATGTTCGACAGCACAGGGAAAGATAAATATACCCAGATCCAGACAATGTCGACCCGGCCACCGGAAACCCCTCAATGTCGGTGGAGCCCCAGTCGGCGTAGACGGCGATGATCGCCCAGATGAACTGGGCCAAGCAGAACGCGCACACGAGAGCGTACGACGGGTGCTCCATGAAGAAGCCGTGGGAACGGGTGCCTGCGAGACAATAGCGGCCTAGAAGTAGATGATCGAGTGCAACTGCCTGTCGCTCGAGTTGATAAGAAAGGGCGTGGTAAGCACGACAACTGACTTCTTGCTGAAGATGACAAAGAAGATGCTGAACGAAGTCTCAGCGTGAACGTCGTGACAAACGAACAAAAAGTGCTTACATCGGCAGGGTGAGGTGGAGACAGTACACGAGGCGTAGGCGAAGGTCTCAGTAAGTCCCAGAAGTCGCGAGTGTTCGAGGGCAAGAAGCGTCGAGCGAGAGCATAATGACGGTTCCGTTGTTGAGGAGGGCGATGGTCAGGACCATGAACGATGGGAACTCGATATTATAGCAGATCCCGAGAAATGCGAAGCAGATGACGATACGGATCGTGACAGCTTGAGCTTCGAGAC